CTGGGTGGGTTTGGGACTCACCTGGGTGGGCTTGGGATCATCTGGGTGGGTTTGGGACTCACCTGGGTGGGTTTGGGGCACCTGGGTGGGCTTGGGATCATCTGGGTGGGTTTGGGATCATCTGGGTGGGCTTGGAGGCACCTGGGTGGGTTTGGGACTCACCTGGGTGGGTTTGGGATCATCTGGGTGGGTTTGGGACTCACCTGGGTGGGTTTGGGATCATCTGGGTGGGCTTGGGGCACCTGGGTGGGTTTGGGATTCACCTGGATGGGTTTGGGATCATCTGGGTGGGCTTGGGGGCACCTGGGTGGGTTTGGGACTCACCTGGGTGGGTTTGGGGACACCTGGGTGGGCTTGGGACTCACCTGGATGGGTTTGGGATTCACCTGGATGGGTTTGGGATCATCTGGGTGGGTTTGGTACTCACCTGGGTGGGCTTGGGACTCACCTGGATGGGTTTGGGATCATCTGGGTGGGTTTGGGATCATCTGGGTGGGCTTGGGGACACCTGGGTGGGCTTAGAACTCACACGGGTGGGTTTGAGGGCATCTGGGTTGGGGCTCACCTGGGTGGATGCATTTGGGGTCTCACCTGTGGATTTTGGTCTCACCTGTGGATTTGGGGTCTCACCTGTGGATTTTGGCTCCAGGGCAGTTTTTCGTGATGATGTCACCTCAGGAGGTGCTCCCGGGGGGGGCCCAGCGCTCCATCGCCCCCCGCGCACACCCCTACTCCCCGTGAGTACCTGGGCACACCTGGACACACCCAGCTACATCTGTGCCACACCTGGGTACACCTGGGGCACACCCAGGCACACTTGGGGCACACCCGGGGCACACCTGGGGCACACCCGGACACACCTGGAGAGACCCAGACACACCTGGGCGACACCTGGGACACACCCAGACACACCTGGGGCACACCCGGGGCACACCCGGACACACCTGGGGCACACCTGGGTACATCTGGGGCACACCTGGGCACACCTGGGGCACACCCAGACACACCTGGAGAGACCCAGACACACCTGGGCACACCTGGGGCACACCCAGACACAC